TAGGTTGCAAAGTAACATTCGATAGAGCAAAGCAAGCTCTACAAGAAGGCTATCTTGCTTTAGCAACAACTCTGATCTACCACGAGTTTCGAGCCAAAAACTAAAAAGATTCAACTGTCTGAAAAATTGAGAAAAATCGTAACTCAGTTCATAAAAAACCAACAAAAGTTCTAACTTGCTCACGTAAACACTATTCACATAAGATATCTATATACGCCTTTGCCGTATTTTTTTCTCTGTTAGAAATCAAGAAAACGGAAATTTTCGTGCGTTTGCCAAAGTGATGCTGTGCCGTTCCCACACAAGTAGTTGTATACTACAAACCTGTAGAAGTATAAACGTGAATTTCCAGCTCTCTACAAGCTTTAGTTCTCGAAAAATTTCGAATACAGTTTTCGCTAGTCATGTGGTCCAAACTAAACTTCAAATTTCTCGAGAATTAAAGCTTGTAGAGAGCTGAAAATTTACGTTTGTACTTCTACGGATTTGTAATATACAATTACTTATGTGGGAACGGCACAGCAACACTTTGGCAAATGCACGAAAATTTCCGTTTGCTTAATTTCTTACAGAGAAAAAAATGCGGCAAAGGCGTATATACAGTGCTGGCCATAGCTATAAAGCCACCCTAAAAATCACCGTAATTTGCTCTCTCTTGCTCATATTTGTCTGAAAATCCGCTATTCTTTGCGCAAACTAACGTCATAGCATTGACCAGAACGACTCCTGATTTCGTGGGTTTTGGCCGGAGAAGAATTGAAAATTTGAAAGAACGGGTTTCGAAGGCTGGTCACAGCTATAAAGCCACCTCTCATTTTCAATCAGTACTGCGTTTTTTGAACCTCAAATTTTTTGTACATATAGAATATCAAAACATAAAACATTTGTTACACTTGAAAGGGGTCGCCTTTCAAAAAGAAGATTCGTACTGCATTTTTGCTCTAAAATGCATAATAGGTCACATCATTTGCAAAAAACTGCTTTATCACTGAATTTTGAAGCAATTGTTTGACTCGGATGAAGGCCCTATGCTTTGCCGAGCCTTTGCAATGAATAGGACGAAAAGCGCTTGAGTTAACATTGCGTATTCGCTGATATTGTTAAACGAGCCCCAACCTCACCTCCAGGTGGACGAGTTTTTGAAGCGCAGAAATTGAGTTCTAATGCCCGAAAAGCTCTGTCGCGTGCTCAGCACGTCGCTTGTACAACGACAGACTCGTGTGCATAGCCTGTACGTCATCGCAACTCTGAGGACTCTGGTTCCGCTTTGGACGCCTTTTTTCCAAAATGAGTGGTGCACTCCGTCTGATCATGATCCACTTCAACCACCTCGATCGAGCGGAAAACCGCTCAGAAGTTCAAAATCCTTCTATTCCTGACAGTTTAGTAAGATTTGAATTGATGAGGAGTTCAAAGCAGTGAAATTTGAAGTCTTGTGAGATACACTGCGCACAACCGAACTGCAGACAAAGCGTTCTAACTTCATTGCGGCAGATAGGTCTTTGCAAAAAAACCTGGCGGCTTCTGCATGAGTACATCGCCATGCAGACAAGGTGTCAACTTTCAACCAAAAGTTTTCGCGTGTCAGAAATCTAGTTTTGCGCCTCAGAAGCGCGCTTACACCTCGGTAAGATGAGGCTCGTTTACCAAGATTAGCGACTACGCAATGTTGAGTCCAGCACTTCTCACCTCGTTCATTGCAAAGGCTAAGCAAATCCTAGGACGTTCATCCGAGTCAAACAAGTGCTTCAAAATTTAGTGAAAAGCAGTTATTTTGCAAATAATGTGAGTTATTATGCAATCTAGAGCAAAAAAATGCAGTACGAATCTTCTTTTTGAAAGGCGACTCCTTTCAAGTATAAAAATGTTTCATATTTTGATGTTGTATATGTACAAAAAATTTGAGATTCAAAAAAATCTAGTACTGATTGAAAATGAGAGGTGGCTTTACAGCTGTGACCAGCCTTCGGAACCAGTTTTTTTCAAATTTCTAAAGTTTTCTCCGGCCAAAATCCATAAAATTGGGAGCCGTTTTGGTCAATGGTATGATGTTAGTTTGCGCACAAAATAGTGGTTTTTCAGACAATTATGAGCAAGAGAGAGCAAATTACGGTGATTTTTAGGGTGGCTTTAAAGCTATGGCCAGCACTGTAGGAGTCTTATGCGAATAGTGTTTACGTGAGCAAGTTAGAATTTTTGTAGGTTTTTTATGAATCAAGTTGCGATTTTTCTCAATTTTTCGGGCAGTTGAATCTTTTTAGTTTTTGGCTCGAAACTCGTGGTAGATCAGAGTTGTTGCTAAAGCAAGATAGCCTTCTTGTAGAGCTTGCTTTGCTTTATCGAATGGTACTTTGCAACCTAATTAGAAATGAGAAATGTTTGACTTATTGCGGTTGGAATTCAAAACCTGCATTATTTTTGTTACAGCCTAGTACAAAAAGGACTCGATCGGACCGATTCTACAAAGAATACGCACAGGCTACAACGCTCTCCTCGACGATGAAGCAAAGGAAGTATACGAAGTCGAACAAGAGATAAGAAGAGGTAATGAGAGCGAATGCCAGATGCTTCGGGAGATGTACAACGCCGTTGCAGCACTTGAAACGGCGTTGCAACGTCAGTGGAACGACCGAGAGTGGCCTCAAGGAAAAATTTGGAACTGGGACATCCAGCCGCTCCGAGAATCGATCACAGAACTTCTAGATGAAGTGAAGAGCCAACGACGTGACCCCGACAGAAATGGTAGAACATGGAATGACGGCTCTTTTAAAGAGGTCAAGGATTCGATCGCACAATTGAGAGTTGAGATGCATCAACAGCAGGAACAGATTCGAGGATGGTTCGAAACTTTATACCAGGACGTGAAGGAGATAGTGGCACAGGAAAGAAACAAAGACACTCAGATCATGAAGGAGGAGATTCAGGCACACCGCGGATACTTCCATCAAGAAGTGTCGCGCCTGGAACAGCAGTTCGTCGGCTTAGCATCACAGATCAAAAAAGAAGCTGAACGTAAAAGCAAGGAAACCGCCAAGATACTGAAGCGAATGGAAGACAAGATCACGAGAGCGAGACCGATCACCACAGAGGAGTCGCAGCGAGATAGCAGCACGGATGAAAGTGTTCAGCCAAATGCAGCTCGTAAACGCGCCACACGCGCTCCCAAGAACCAAGCTCGCGGGGAAGACATTGATGAACGGGGAGATATTCAGGACCAGAAGGAAGCACGGAAGCGAAAACGGTCAATCACGGAAGCGACGACCACAGCAGACTCCAAACAGAAACATAAGAAACTCATCGTCGAGTACACAGAGGAACGAGAGAGACTACAGCAACAAATACAGTCCTTCTCGTGCCCCAAAGACGACTGGGCGACAAGGGAAATGGAAGTGGACTTCCCATGTGTGTGTTCTGCAGGGAGCACGGCAGCCACTATTCAGACGCTTGTCCGAGGGTGACATCCATCAAGGATCGAGTGGCTCTGCTAAACAGCGAACAAAGATGCCACCGTTGCTTGGAGCGGCACATCCACGGCTGCATCAGACGAACTTTCTGTTTCTAGTGCAAGAACAGCGAACAAGGAGTGGCAGACGACCATCATGCTGCTATTTGCACCCTGCCGGATGAAGTCAAGCGCTACCGCCTGCGCCATGAGGAAATTCAAGCACGGATCGAGGAGTGCAAAAGGGAATTGAAATTGAAGAAAATCGAGGAAGGGCAAACGATGGATCACAGGGAATCAACTCAGAGCAAGGAGGATCCTGGTCCCTCTTCTCGACCCTGAGGCCGGAGTATACGAACTTTTCGCGTTCGTATCCACTGCGCCGCGCACAAAGAACGGATGCCTTGCGCGTTCGATCAGCAGTTTTCTCACAGCTTATGTTTATGTTTATGCTTATCAGTAGGCTCATCGGCAGATTCTTGAGCGCATTGGTATTTGCTTATGTTCTATCGCGTATATAAGTAGAGGATATAAGTTGGCTGCCATGTTCGCCTTTAGTTGCTTTATGTTCTTTTCATTTGTTATTTGTTGGCTTTTCTCTATTGCTTCACAGCTTCACAGCCCCACAGAATCTATCACAGTGTCATAGGCTTTATCACAGTTCCACAGAACGTATCACAGGGTCACAGATTACTTGAATTCCATAACAGTATCTGCTTGGTAGTCGTACTCGCTTGTGTAGATCGTTTAGTATTAACACAACAAAGTTTAATTACCCAAGTTTGAGGTGTCGCAGTCTACCGTGCCCCGCAAACCAAGCACCGCCACAAGTCCTGCGTGGCAGCAAACATAAGTATTGAACAAACCGTACAAGAACTTGTAGAAAGCTGAAAATGTGCAATTATATTCCTAAAGCGTTTAATATAAATCTACTCTGTGTTAAGAGAGCAGCATAATTTTTCCCGAAGCTTAAAAATTTCGGTTCTCGCTTTTTAGCACAGATGCAGATACAGCAGGCGTATATGAATGCCTTAAATGGAGTGTTTATGAATCCAATAAGTTTGTTTTGGACAAAGATATGAATTCTTTCTAATTTTCGTTTGAAACTGCATCAAGGCATCTGAAACTTCTTAGATTTCGGCTTCTAACTCGAGGTATACCAAAGCTGATGCCAACGCTTACACATTTTCTTGTAGAGCTTAGTTTGCTCTATCGAACGGCATCCTGCATCCTTATTGGAATTGAGAAGTATATGGCCTATTGTGATAAAAACAAAAAATCGAAGAAACTTATGAGACAAACCAATAGAAGTCTCAATCACATCGATTTTATCGATTCTTCTACAAGATTTGAGCTATGGGACTGAGGGGTTGGCGTGAGGAGGGGGGGGGGAAGGGTTAGTAAACATGCTGATTACGAAAACATAGTTGAGGCACCTGGCATATGGAGGACCGGGACAGTTGGAATGTTGTAGGGATATAGGGCACTTTTTATCATAATTGAAAGGGCCGGGCAGAACCGGGTATGCCAGTTAGTAAAAAGTATAGCGAACTTCTAGGAGTATCCAGAAGGGAGACGTCATCTACGAAACAGGTAACGCAAAACCCGAATGTGATCCCTTCATTGATGATAGTTCAAATGAATCTACTGCAACAGCTGACTCAAATCCTTCCGGTAAGTCTAATTTATGAAACGGTCGAGTATCTTTATCCTTTAGACATAAAAGCTCTAATTCTTTCACTTTTTTCAAACAGAATTTTAAGAAATTTTTTGCTCAATAAAGTAGACTTGTTTCGAATCTGCAAAATGCGCAAATTCATGTTAGGAACCTTCTTTTTACCCTGAATGTTAGCTTCGTAGTCTGTTTTAAGAAGAATTGATGCAAATTTGCCATTTCTACCTAAAACCTTTGCACCGGACCCATGTCGCAGTCCAGGCTAGCTTATAATTTGTTAAGGTGACGAATAAGATCTGTTACTCTTTTTTATTGGTGCTGAAGAATTACGGAATTTCCCATCAAATTTACAGCGGTTTTTAAGAAGGTTTTTCTCTACACTTTGTGCTTTTCTCTCCTGCATCTTTTTTGATCTTTGACACAGTTCTCTCTTTTTGTGTCTCTGATGCAAGGCTCGGCACAGTTGACTTACAAGCAAGCTGGATATCGTTTTTGGGACAAAAAGCAAAGGGGGTTTCGTTTTTGTGGACGAAGACACGCAAAATTGGAGGCGTTTTTTTAGTCGACGTTTCGTTTTTTGGAGGATTTTTAGGGAATATGGTGGGGGGGGGAGGGGTCAAAGGGGACTTCGTAAAAATACCCAACAGTTAAGGGGGGCTTCGTTTTTTGCATTTTCATCTAGCCACCTCGTGCCGAGCCCTGCGCTGATGCCGTCAGCGTTTCAAATAATTCCGGATTTTTAGAAAAACTTTGCTAATCAAAATACCAATGTGCACTAAGATGACAAACCATTAACTTACAAAGAAAGACCCCAACCCCCACTTCGAAGTGGGATTTCATGTGTTGCTTACCATTTTGCGGTCGCGCAATCATACCAAATCCGTGTTGCTTGACTTGTGCTCAAGAGTTCAAATCCTCTAAGCAACCCATCTTTGAAGTTTTACAAGTTGCTCATATGTATCCGTAGAGGATTCCTAAGGCAAGGAAACGCTCCTAGGAAATTATTTGCACAAACTTCGAAGGAAATGAAATAACCGTGCACCGATTTTATTATCTGATGACAAGCTTATTCGACAATTACAATCAAAATTTCGCAACTGTTAGTAATATGTTACTTGGCGAGAAGATTCTCTATCAAGAGAAGTTCTGCACAATTGCATTTCTGTATTGCATCATACGGATTCTATCCTCAAAATACCACTGTTCTCATGTATTCAAGTATTTTGCATTCTCTTGCATGCCACTGACTACTTGGACACTCTCCTTGACCCTACTTATGTCTAGTTTGTTAGAATGTGAGCTCAGGAAGTGTTTTTGAGTTTTAAGCATTTTACGGCAAATTACCTCGCATGCTAATAGATAGTTTAATACTGAAATATGAAAACAGGAATAGATTGCTATTGTTTCAAGCTATCGAACAATGTATGAGCGTTTCCTGCCTTGGGAGAAGACTAAGGACAAAACAACTTTGCAATAGATTGACCATCTGCTGATAGTCTCCACAGCTGTCCACTGGACACCAACCATCCACACTTACCCTGCTTGGCGCCAACTTGTAGTGAGCCGTAGTCAAACTGGTGCGATGTCTTGCTACAAAGCTCTATGGTCTTAGGCCTGTATGCACTTACATCCCCGCGGAGAGGGGAGGGGATCTGAGAGGGGAAGCGTCATATCTCGCTAGTCTATGTATCTTTCTTCTTCTTTCTCTGTCTTGCTTTTGAAGGTTCTCATACACTGATACTTGCGCATAACGGATGCCAGGTTACTGCCATACAAAATTAGATATTCACTATTTCGTCTGATCCCCTGGGGATCCCCAGGGGTCACCTCACATTTTCAAAGTCATTTATCTTTCTGAAAACTCGATGAAAATGCTCTAAAATTGTACTGAGGATATACTACAGCACTGCTAAAAATGTTTATGGTAGAGATGAGTGAAATCTCAAGATATCAAAATCTTCGATGAATTGCTGCTCGCGAACCAGGGATTATCGAAAATATCAAAATCTTCAGATTCCATTTTTTTTGTCGAAAACATGCTCAGCGGTATCGTGGTATATCTTCCGCACAATTTTGCATTTTCATTGATTTTTGAGAAAGATATATAACTTTGAAAATGTGAGGTGATCCCCTGGCATCCATTATGGATCGGAAGAAATAGTGAATATTTAATCCTGTATAGCAGTAACATGGCATCCATTATGCGCAGGTATAAGGGTATGGAAACCTTTATAAGCAAGATAGAGAAGAAGGATGAAAGATATCTAGAGTAGCGAGATATGGCGCTTCCCCTCTCAGATCCCTTCCCCTCCCCGCGGGGATGTACGTGCATACGGGCCTTATACAGACAGAAAAACTGTGAGACTAGCTGAGTTTAGCCTAAATATAAACGAAATTTAGCGTTAGCTACAGAACTCTAAATACAGTATGTTTCAGCTGGATATAGGTCGAGGCATTCAATGCGGTGCAGCGCGCCGGCTTCGCTCGAGACTATGCGAGCGCACAGCGCTGAGAGTTTTGCCAATTTGGTTGAGGACAATGAGGAGACGCAGACAAGGGTTTTGAGCTATTATATACTGTAGCGGCAGAAGAGCGCGAACCGTTGCCGGTAGCCCGCCATTTCCACTCTCTCTAAATCGGATGCAACTTCCCGCAAGCGCCTTAGATTTGTCAATATATTGAAAGGAACGAAAGGCAGCGGATTCAGCGCGCAAGAGGTGCTACTTATGGGAACCTCTCTTTAAGGGAAAGACGAATGTTCTTATCGCTACAGAAAACTGCAACATTTTCCGTCACCATACCTCGTCCTTGTGTTCTAATCTTTTACTCATAATGAGAAAGCATGTGAAGTAACGTCGTTGTACACTAACCTACTTTATTCTGGTAGTATTGTGAACTCAAATTTGCTTTAGGTGCTTCTTATTGTGCTAACGGTATTTTATCAACAAATGATGTCTACCAAGTACTCTCTCTCATCAATAGCAAACGCACGATATTAGCTAATGGGTTGCAAATGAATGGTACATATTACTTCGAAGGGGATAGGACTACTGAGCTCCCTCCAGCCAAAAACATGCACAAAATGGCAGGTTTCACTTTACTTCATTGGTATGGTTTGGATCCTACAAAGTTTCAACTGCATGAATACCTACTTCAACGATCTTCAGTCTTTTGAAATTACAATCTCGATTAGATCCGAATTTAGACCTCGACTTACCTCAAAAAGTTAGAGGAAAACTGGGAACCAAGGTACGATCAAACATTGTGTCATATGTTTTTGCCAACGTTTTCACGAAGAAGATCTATAAATGAGATCCAGCAAAAACAGAAGCTTGAAAAAATAACTCCTTACCCTTCCTATATTTCTGTACTGCTTTAGACATATGACTGCGTCCTCGAACAAAAGGCTAAGAAAGCTCTAACAGAACTGGAGTGCGGGGACGACAGCCAAGCATTTAAGGAGTACGATTACAATCACGATGAAGCTTCTTATCTTCGCAAAATTTCCAAAACTTATCGTTCATTCAGTCCCTACGTTACCCATTCCAACATTTCCACCGCTCTTTGGCGCAAGTTATTCCAAGTTGACTGGTATGGCATCGCTTCTTTCAACACAACTCAGTCCTTAGACTATTATGATTGGTACGATTATGAAAGAGTAACAAAGAATTATGGCAATGTACTTTTCTACAAAACCTGTCTAAAGGATGTAAACAGTCTTTCTTTCAGCTGATGCGTGCTGATGCCTCCAAAGTAGGTTGTGCAAACATGACATGTCAAAATAAAGAATTCCTTATGTATCTTTGCATCACCGATCAAGGGTGAGTCGTTAGCCCTCTGGTTTTTTGACTGACTCTTCAAGCAGACGGAGTTGATTTTCTGCTGTGTTCCAATGCGCTAGAAACTTGCCGGGAATGGAAAGCATCGTATGGAGTGCAGCAGGATTGTTATCAGGGCTCGGCACGAGATGGTTTTCAGAAAATGCAAAAAACGAAGTTCCCTTGACAAATTTTACGAAGTCCCCTTTGACTTCAAACCATATAAGAAACCTTTAGAAACGTAACGTCGACCAATAAAAAGCGTCGCAAATTCTGTGTTTTTTCGGCCACAAAAGCAAAACCCCTTTGCTTTTTGTCCCAAAAACGATGCCCAGCTTGCTTATAAGCCACCTGTGCCGAGCTTCGATTGCTATGCTAGCCGAAATCCTCCTCTATCAATCAGTAATTGTTGACCTCAATAATTCAAAATTAGCGATTGAGAATCGACGAAAATGTGGATACCGTTGGCGCCTTCTTTTCAAAACCAGTATTTTGTGGTCTTCCTCTTGGTCCGTGTCTTGTTTTACAAAATTCGAAAAATTGCCCAGATGTCTCATCATAGACCAACCGTCGCTGATTCTTGGGAGCTTAACTTGCACGCTATATTGGCGAACTGATGCAAGCTTAATGAACTTATCACTAAAGCTAAATCCTTTTTTCCCTAAGTTTGGGCACTTAATTTGGTTATAAAATATGTTTTACATAAGAAGAAATTGAACGTTCGGAAGCGTAGTACCGATTAATTGTTAGGTTGACACGTGGTTCATACATTGAAAAACTCAAAAATCTGCATATTCCGCAAGCCTAAACTCATGGTTTTTATCTATGAAAAATGGAAGAACTTGCTTGCTTTTTTACGACAGTGATTTAGTCGCAATTTTTCAACGGCTAATCATATAGAACAAAGCTGGAAATGAAGCACTTCGATTAGAGTGCCGCAGTTTGCTCCAAGAAAATCTAAGTTTTTGATGCAGTACACATTTGAAAAGCACAGCTTAATACATTCGAGTAGATCTTCCGCTCAATATAGTGTGCTTGCACCGCAGGTAAAATGCGGTAAAATTTGTACGTGAACAAATAGCCACGCCAGGTATAACCGCTTTTTGCTCGCGCAGTTGGCCAGGCGTAGCTACTTGTTCGCGCGCAAGTTACCGCATTTCAGCTCTAGTACAAGCAACTTTATCAAACGCAAAATCTACTGGACTGTGCCAGATTTCAATCTAGCGCTATACTGGAACAATGTAAAGTTTACTCTGCATAAACTGTGTTTCTGCACAAATATCGCAGTAATAATGAAATTTTCGCGTAAGTCAATGATTCCACCAGTATTCTGCTGTTGCTAAGTGCGAGACTGAAGCCTCCACAGTAATTGTGCACTATTGCAACGAAAACTTTCATGGACTCAGCGGGCTAATTGGCGATACACTAGTATTTTTTTATGACGAACTTCAGTCGAGTCATATTACATGACCATGTGTGCGTTGCATACACCGTCCATTTTTGGCGTCCTCATCCTGGTTTTGCAAACGCTAAACACAAGTGATTTACGGGTTGCTATCGCTTATCATTTTGTAGTGATTAGTACCTAACGAGGAAAGAAAACACTAAGAACACATCGAAAACACCTACCTAAAAAGTTGTTTGCGTCAAGAATCCAGAATGGGCAATAGTGGGCAGTGCGTGCAATGACACACATGATCATATGGAATAATCTGATTGTAAATCATGAATACTTGAGTGCCTTTTGAGATTCAGACTTAAAGGCAGCATCCCGCTAAAGTGGAGGTGCCGTACCGTACCTACCGTGAAATCCGGGCCACTTTCGGAGCAAATTTCAGGATTAGTAGACGTCCTTTCCCGCTTCGAACTTCAGCCATCGCTTGAGTAGGGAGTCTACTTTAACATCGCCACAAAACTCAGCACCCCTCTTCTTGCCAGGGAGCTGCCTTCAAGATTCGAAGAGTTAGAGCTCTTATTTGAGTTACGCAAGAGTTTATTCTCAGACAATCGCAAAAGAAGCTCCGGGGCAAAGTGAGCTTCTGGAAGTTCCGGAGCGGACGCTGCTATTGGTCCGTGTGACAAAGGCCACACGGCCCATGCCACACGGAACAATAGCAGTGGCCAACTCCGCAAGTTTTAGAAGGTCAGTTTGCCCCGGAGCTTCTTTGCGATTGTCTGAGTTGCGATACAAGTAAACTCAAACTGTTCAAACATCAGTTCTAAAATTTTGGCTGCATTTATGCCATTAACAATCAAGCCAGATTTTGCCGTACACTAGGACGTGGACATTCACCGAGCTGAAAAAAGGCAAAGCATTTATGATGTTTGCTTCTAATTGCCAATCACCCAAACCCTTCAAATGCTAAAATAAAAGTTTCGGAAGCTTGAACTGGAACTGGAGACTCATGAGTAGCTACCAGAAAAAATTAGAACTAAGGAAGATTTGCTTTCTAAATGTACCAACTCAGTTAAAACGTTTACAAAATACTAACCGTAAACTCCACCACTGTTTTGGTTGCTGTAATGCATCTCCCACTTGAGCATTCACCCGATTGCGGAAATAGAGCGGTCGCCAATAAGCGAAGAATTTATTTGGAAGAACAACTCCGAGCGTCTCATCGGCTCAGCCCCTCCCATCGATAAATGTGTGTTTATTTTTGCAAGGAATCGTTGCATTCTCCCTAAAAATCATAAAGAGAAGAAGTTTCAAGATATGCCAAGTGGGTACGGTCGCGCGCTTCGCTAATTTGGGTTCAGCGCGGATATGCCACAAGAGGGAGGAGAATCAAAGGTCGATAATCTCACGTTTTTGTCATGCTTCTGATCGCTTGTTACTATATAAGGAATATGTCAAGCATTACTCCAAAATCGGCTTTTGGGGTATCGATTCCTCTTCAGATTGTAAGGTTTCTGAAACCTTACTTTAGTGCCCTCCGCATGCTCTTCGGAGAACAATGTTTTTAGCTTCTCGCTATCGTTGCTCGCATTCTTCTCAGATGTAGAAAATAAAAAAAAACGATTTGACATTGCTGGAAATGCTGTTCAATCCATCAAAATAAGCTGTTTTGTATACTCCATAAATTAGTAAAATTTCAGGCCAATCAATAATGGAGACGAACTTTATGAAATACGTACAGATAAAAGTGATATATATACCGATGATGAGTGTGGTCTTCCTTGGACTTCGAGTATTACATCCACGACAGTGTTTCCTAATACGAGTACCTCCGGTAAGTGTAATTGCCAGAGAACTATCCCTATAACTAGGTTGGATAGACAATTTCTTTTTGTTTCAAAGGTCTTTTTTTTTACAATAACAAATTCCTGTACTACTGTGTGGTAGCACTGGAATGGTTTGAGAAGAATTTAATACTCAATTTTGCCTGAGAAGAAGTTATTTATGTGACGAAATAGTACGGGAATATGGGGAATTTTGATTTTTTGCACCATGTTTTGAAGTACCATGACAAAAAAGAACTGGAATATACATATAAAATTTTGATATTTGCAGCCATTTACATGACCGTAGAGGAGAAAGCGCAAGCGATATGGACAGGGTCGAGCAAGAGATGTGGCACACAACAGCCACATACGACTTCCCCCCCCCCCCCCCCCAAGTTCTGTTTCATATCCAACCCCAGCAATTCATTTGTTTGTTGTTATGACCCAAAGGTTCTACCAAATATTACTAGTAACATATTTGTAAGTAGCATGTTTTAATTAACCCCTGTACGCCAAGTTCTAGCGAATTCTGAGGATTCCTAATAATGAACCACCTAAGTCAAATAATCATTTTCCAACATGGTTAACTATAATTCGAAAGTGAATTAGCTTTCTTTGTTTTCAAAACAAAGTAAACCCTTATGCCATATCTTGAATCCTGCTTTGAATAACTATTGAACTATGGAATTAGGAGCCAGCCAGCATCTCATTTTTCCCAGTTTACGCTTTAAGTGGTTCTGCTTCCAACATATAGAAAGGAAACAGATAAAATCAAGCTCTAACCATTCCTTTCGAAACTGCGAGATTTCCGCTATCACACTGTCTGTATTTTGTTTGCTAACACTCTGTTTGGAGGTAAGTTAATGGGATGTGGTACAACCCCGAGAAGCTGTGGCTGCCACACCGTGCCGCACCCCATTAGCTTACCTTCACAAAATCAGTGAGCGTCTCCTCTCTTTATTTTCCAATTTTAGCCGCGCCATGTCGCCGTTTTACAGAACTACAGTACACCACTGAATCATCACAGTACACCACTGCGTCATCACAGCATACCACTGCATCTACGAAAAAAATGAAAAACAAGACAATGCGTCACAAAGACAACAAAGACACCCTGTGTCACCCTGCCGCATGCGAAGTCAAAACGGGAAGCGAGAGCTGCAAATTTTCGCAAAGTACTGTATTCATTGGTAATTAACACTTTATAACTCTGCTTTTCAGGTTCTGTCTAAGAAGTCAGAAAAGCATATGTCACAGAAGGTGAAAAATACAGACGCCACCGGCCTGTTCCAGAATGCTCCTAAAGAAAAGCCGCTGCGCTGAGAACTCTCTTACTCTTTCCAACGCATGATCTTGGAAACTTCAAAATTTTCCAATTTTACATCAGTAAAATTCGAATAAAATCGCAAATCAAAACATTTTTTTTCTATCTGCTTTTTCATTATATTAAGTCATTCCGAAAGTAATTTCGCTTTTTTCAAACGGGCACCACATGTGACAGAACAAAATTTTCTAAGAGATCTTAGGAGCATTCGATGCAGAATGCCATTCTCTTTCTAATGATTATGAAATTATTGCAAAACAATCAACGAACTTTCAGAAAATAGCCAAAATGTGCGATGCATGCTTTTTGAGATGGTCAAGTTTCACGATTTTTTAAAACTTTCACTCCAATCTTCAGAAGGAGTTCAAGTAACGATTCGATAGAGTAAACCTTATAGAATACAGTACTAGTTTTCCCTCTTTCTCATAGGCCGCTGTAATTTTTTAAAAGTTTTTTTTAACAGAACCGTCGGATTTTGGCAGACCCACCTCAGCCACAATCGCATCAAACATCATAAATTTTTCGGAATTTGAGACTATCAATATGGTACTATGAGTTATACTATGAGTTAGCATTAATTTACAAGGCAAGTGAGGGTTTACGGGTTCGAAATATCGAATTTCGAGTTTTTCGGGCACAGCCTGGGGCTCGCTAGAAAAATGAGTTATGATGATTTTATTTCCGAAAACTAAACGAATCGGAAACAAAAAACACCCGTTAGAAAGAGGAGAAAATGCTGCATCGAATAGTGCCCGAGCTGCTCTTCCACTGATGTTCTTCGAGGATTTAGCTGCCCAAGTATGGAAATGGGTAGCATCAGTTAAAATTCTGTTAAAAATGTATGAGAAGCTATGAAAAGGAGAAAAAAGAAGTGCTGTATTCTATGAGGTTTACCCTATCAAATCGTTACTTGAACTCCTTCTGAAGATTGGGTTGAAAGTTTCAAAAAATCATGAAACTTGGCCATCTCAAAAAGCATGGGTCGCACATTTTGGTTATTTTCTGAAAGATTTTTGAGTGTTTTGCAACAATTTCATAACCGTTAGAAAGAGAATGAAATTCTGCATCGAATGCCTCCAGGACCTCTTAGAAAACTTTGTTCCGTCACATGTGGTACCCGTTTGAAAAAAGCGAAATTACTTTCGGAATGACCTAATATCTGTTCACCCGAAATATCAAGTCGGTCCGGAAGTTCGCGCTGTTTTTGAGACCCATGCTCAAACCGCTTAGAATACAGATAAATAAAAACTATAAGCACTATCCGCTGCAGAATTTCTTCCTCTTTCTAATGGTTATGTTATTGTTCAAATTCGCTCAATGTCCGCTCAATGATCGACAGGGATATCCAACCCATGAATTTCACCCATCTTCAGTTTGGCGATTTTTTAGAACTTCCATTCTCAACTTTTAGACTAGCATAACAGTTGGATAGAATAAACAAAACGCAATACAGTACATTATTCTGGCATCTCTAGCTGACTTCTTAAAATTTCTGAAAATATTTTTCTGATGACAACAAATTCCATCTTTGGGCATCTCAAATCTCACAGAACAATAAACAATTAGCAGCCAAAGTGTCATTCGATGCAGCTTTTTCTCCTCTTTATAACAGACTTTTTTATTCCTGATTTGTATAATAATTGAGGATAAAATCATTGTAATTTTCTGTTTTCAAACGCGTCCAAGCTGTACCCAGAAAATTCAGAATTCAATATTTCGGACCGCTATACATTTGCTTGCTGATATTAGTGTTAAGTCATAATCTGTCTTTGGAAGCTTCAAATTCCGAAGATTTGTCGTGTTTGAAGCGATTGTGTATTTCCACGAGTTCGCAAAAGTAAAGGCTTTTGGAAGAAATTTTTCAAGAAATAGTGAAAAGTTAGTTGATAAAGACAAAATAGTTCATTATGTTGCATTTTGTTTGTTCTATCCAACTGTTATCAAAGGCAGTCCAAAAGTTGAACATGGAAATTTTGAAAATAGCCAAACTCAATACGGGTGAAAATCATGGATTGAACATCCCTGCCGATTATTGAGCGAACATACATCCCTGCCGAATATGAGCAAAAACATAACCATTAGAAAGAGGAAGAAATTTTGCAATGAAGGGTGCTTACACAGCTTTTGTTTATCTTTATTCTAAATGATTTGAGAATGGCTCTGAAAAACAGCGCGAACTTTCGGAACGACCTAATAGTTAAATTACCCATTAATCGTGTTGAGTTTACGAAAAACCAGATTATAGACAATTTCTTCATGTTGTCAGTGAAACAACGAAAATAGGTTTAAATATCCCAAGCAAGGCTTGGAATCAAGAGGAATCAAGAGGATTGGAATCATCCTTCAACCCTAAATGATCTATTCCTTCCGAAAATCTTCTTTAAGGAATAGAGATGTGTTCTCCATTCTATGGAGAAATGCCTAACGAAGACGTGGATCCATTCAAACTTTAAAGAACCAAAATTTGGTGTCGTAGTTCCTGAAATGACAACATGGATGACATGGATGCAGGCTTGTGTTTTGTTAACGAATTTAAAGCCAGCAGTGTTGTGGATCTCTCACGCAGAACAGTCACATACTGTAATGCATGAAAGCCCCTCACTGTCTCTGTAGCAAGTTCCACTGAGAAAATTTTAAAACGAACTATCAATAAATTCTCGCTGCGGCGCAAAATCATATGAGTGACAAATAATAGTTGAGCATAAGCTCAGGCGCAAGCCTTTCGACACCCTCCCCTATCCTGAACCAAATGACCTCCTTCCTCTTCACCTCCTAAACCTTAAAATGTGACGCTTTGAAATACATCATGCTGTCCCAAAGACTTTTGGATTTTTGTAGTCTGTATGCCGACCGTCCGATTTTGTGTGAGTGCACTTTAATCGCACGTAATTTGTCTGCGGATTTTGACTTGAATGGGCTCATTGAAAAGATCATAGTTCCCCCCGGGGTGGGATGTTTGGCTCCAAATTTTCACGGTAGCAAAAAGAGGCTATGGACTCAATACTCATACCAAAAATGGAACCTTCTGAATCTTAGTTTAGGGGGTCAGGCACAAGCGCTGCAGCTGAAGCGCTTGGAGTACGCCGTTGTTGGAATCTTGACAGAACTCTAATCCCCGATTTAGAAGTAATATGAAGTTTAATTTCTAGCATAGACTAAAAGAGAGTATTACTTTGTTATGAGTACAGAAAAGCTGACTTCTTTTACTTTAATCAAATTGATCCAAAACACGCATTTCAGAAATGTCATAGGTGGATTGCAGAGTTCGTAGGTGTAATTTGACACACTAATTACGGAAATCATACCCACAAACTACACAGCAAACTTTTGGACCTTAGGTGTGAGTATGTGTAAGGTAAGAGTGATTCTGAATTGGCTGAGACTTCGATAGTGTAATTAATCAGCATGCTGTTAACGATTGTCATTTATTCAGCTCTATTAGAATTTAATACTTATCGGTCTAGCGTTTTTCTTCTTCATTTTACTTGATCGTGGTATTCAATCAATTCTGAACGAATTTGGTTCATGATACGACCTCCCCTCCCCCCCCCCAGTTTACCCCAAAGTAAACTCCAGATCGGGCACGTCTGACCTTACGCTTAACCCTGATGACGGCTTTGAAGCAGAGCGTGATGTCTTCAAAAATCACGCGCAGGTTTTTGGGCACCGGTGCTCTGCTTTATTAGTGCTTCGCGAAATTGCTTCTTTGGGGGTAGGAAGGAGGGAAGTGATGACAGCCAGTATTTTTTCCGAAACTTCACGATATAAAGCTCGCAAAAAATTCAAGAAGTCAAAAAAGAGTTTGCGAATGCATATTTATGTGCGAAGGAAGAGCGTGCAGCCATGCTTTGCAAAAAAAATTTTGGAATATCTCCGTTAATCCTTCATCTCACCCCATCAAAAACTCATGAACACTTCTCACCGCAATTTCCTCCATCTGCGAATCTATTGCAGTGAAAAAGTCTCCATTTTCATAAATGTTTCACTACCACAGGGGCTTTAAAGGAATAACAATTTCAAATGTAGATCATTTATTACATCAGTTGTTGCTGTATGGCGCAGTGCCTACGAGAGATGTTATAGGCGATAATTGCCACGAGTCCGTTGAATGGACGGCTATGATGTTAAAACTAATACTGTTTGCTAACCAAAATCTGTCAATCTTTTACAAAAAGATTGCTGACGACAATCGATGGTTGATGGGCACCTATGATTTGCGCATATAACCACCACAAAAGGATGGGGAAGTTTTGCTAAATTTCTTTTCAGAAAATGAAGAACATTCACTATTTCAAGAAATGATCCTCTCAACTCCAAAATGGGCCTTCCCCCACCAGTAAATAGTCGGTTACCTAACGAGCAGTTTACGTTTCCTGTCTCACCATGCAGCTGCCTTGCGTCTTCCGAGCACCTGCACTTGCAGAAAAGGGCTGTCTTTGCTCGAAAGTGCATGATACTCAAGACAGGAAGGAATTACGACCTTACTGGACGTTTTGGAACGTTTTAATTGACCTTCGCCTATTTTTGCACTATTTACAACCAGAATCAGATATAACCAACTTTCATTATGTATACAAATGTGATCAATCAATAAATCAATCATGCATCATTGAATCAGCACAATAACAATCAATAAATCATTGAATGAACTCGGTTGTAAATCACTGACGTAGGGCAATACGATACGTGTACGGTAGATAAATAGTCATTTGCAGTAGTGTGGCGGTAATTAGAGCTAGCTAGGAGCATGCGAGGACAGAAGAAGAAAACGAAAAATTCAATCAATAAATCTGTAAATCGATACCCATGTGTGAGTGCCAACCACGACTAGGCATACTGTAGATGATGTGTTTTACTGTGCAGTATATGTGTGTAGATCAGATCCGAATATGCGCTTTTATCGAGGCTGGCTGAATAATGAACACAGAAACGAGAGAGAGAAAGTGCTTTTGGGAGCGGATCAAGTGAACCCATAATCGGTCATTAATCGATCGATATAGTAATCTGAAATG